TAGTCTCACAGGTAGTGTATAGCAGAGCTCTGAGACTTTAAAAACTTATTTTGTTTGTATCTTTTGCCTGCATATATGTAAGTGCACCTATATTATTCAGTGCCCACAGACACCAAAAGAGGGTGTTGGATCCCCTGAACTGGAGTTAAGGACAGGTGTTAGCCACTATGTGGGTGCTGGGAATGGAACTTGGGCCCTCTACAAGAGCAACCAGTGCTCTTAATCCCTGAGTCACCTCTCCAGCCTCCACTTTTTTTTTTAAAGATAGAATCTCACTGTAGGCAATCCTGCTGCCTTGGCTAACTGTGTGCTAGGATGACAGATGTGGGCCACCATTCTTTTTTTTTTTTTCTTCGGTCTTTTTGAGACAGGGTCTCCCTGTAGCCCGTGCCCTGCTGGCCTCAAACTCACAGAGCTCTGCCTGCCTCTGCCTCCCAAGTGCTGGGATTAAAGGCATGCACTACCATGTCCAGCTGGACCACCACTCTTGATTGGGTGTTTGTTGTGTATGTACTTGATGGGACACACACATGCCACAGCATACATGTAGAAGTCAGAGGACACTTTATGAAGTTAGTTCTCTTCTTCCAACTTTATGTAGGTTCCTGGGATCAAACTCATGTCATCAGACTTTTGTGGCCAGGACCTTGACTTGCCAAGCCATCTCTCCAGCATTGTGGTTTTATTAAGCATTTTGCAATAATTAATGAGCATCTTTTCATTTACCTATTGATTATTGGTTTATCTTCTTTGGAGTGATACCTTTTCAAGTTCTTTGTTCAGTTACTGTGTGTGTGTATGTAAAAGTGTGGAGAACAGGTCATTGTCCAGTGTCTCCCTCTATTATTTTTCAGCTTTCTTGAGGCAGAATCCTTGACTGAACCTGGAGCTCACCAATTGTCTGGCCAGTGAACTTCAAGGATCTACCTATCCTTACCCCTACCCCAGTGCTGACATGTACCATCACACCCAGTTTTTTCATGAGTACTGGGCGTGGTGGCATTTTCCTTTAGTCCCAGGACTTGGGAGCTAAAGGCAGGTGGTCTACATATCAAGTTCCAGGCCAGCTGGGGCTACAGGGAAACCCTGTCTCAAAAAGAAAAAACGGGTTTTTGTATCTAGGCAGTGTGGCACATACCTTTGATCCCAGCACTCCGGAGGCAGAGGCAGGTGGATATCTGTTAGTTTGAAGCCAGTCTGGTCTACATAGTGAGTTCCAGGCCAGCCCAAGCTACACAGTGTAAACTGGTCTCAAAAAAAAAAAAAAAGTTTGGGTTTGTTTTTGGTTTTTTTGTTTTTGGTTTTTGAGGGAGTATCCTAAACTGTAGCTTAGGCTGGTCTAGAACTCACTGTGTAGACCATACTGCCTTCAAATTCATGGCACTCTTTCCATCTCAGCCTTCCAAATATAGGCATGACAAGTGTGGACCACTATGCCTGGCTTTCCTAGGTACTTTTATATGTTACTATAAATTGAGTTGCTTGCTTCATTGTATATGTTGTTCTTGTACCCTGCAACTCTGCTGAATTTCCTACTTTCGTATCTTCTATGTGGAAGTGTTGAGTTTCTATATATAGAATCCTATTATATATGGATAGAAATATTTTTTAGTATTTGAGATAGGATCCTGTCAACTTCAGGCTTCCCTCAAACTTGCTATGTAGCCCAGGCTGCCCTCGAACTCTTGGTGAGTCTCCGGATTATAGGTGTACACCACAGTGCCTGGCTTGGACCTCCAGAAAGAACCAAGAGAAACTACTTCTAACTCTGTTTCTTGCATCACAACATACTGGCCTTTAGTGCCTTTGAACCCTACCCTAAAGTGAAATCTCTGTATTGCCATAAGAGGTATTACTCAGTGACCTGACCTCTTGAGAATCAGGTTATTGCCTTGAAGGAGAATGGTAATTTGAAGGAAAAGACCAAGTCTGCAATATTAAAAAAACAAAACAGGTAGCATTCAGTTGTGGATGAGAGTCCATGAGACCATTTGACTGCTACCCAGGGGCTTGGGCTCTAAGCCTTTCTGGCTCCAGCAGCTTTGATTCAGATACTGGCACATAGAGCGTAAAATGATTAGGATCCAAGCAGCTCCATGAGGGCCTATGTTTCTGTTCTGCCTTTCCAAGGCTTGACACAAAGGCATTCAATATTTGTTGAATGACTAAGTAAATGAAAGCCACAAATAGGTGAAACCTGCCTGTGATAGTGAATAACTAATGGGTTTTTGCTTTTAGATATTCTTGAGATTAGACCCCTTTGGGAAAACTATATTCAGTGAAAGCTAAGAATCCTTCCTTCAATGAAAACCAACCCCATAACATACACATTTACATATATTTTTCACATACTTCCAGGATGTTATTTGATCAGAGACCCCTTCACACCACCTAGGTTAGAACCTCTGATTCCAGTGTAACCATTGCTCCCCTGATCAATTTTTTAAAAATATTTTATTTATTATTTTTATTTTATGTGCATGCATGTATTGCCTGCATGTAGGTAAGTGCACCTGTGTCATGCAATGACCGCGGAAGTCAGAAGAGGCTGTTAGATCCCCTGGAACTGATTTTTTTTAATTATATTTTTTTTTATGTGCATGCATGTATTGCCTGCATTGTAGGTAAGTGCACCTGTGTCATGCAATGACCGCGGAAGTCAGAAGAGGCTGTTAGATCCCCTGGGACTAGAGTTAGGGACAGTTGTTAGCTGCCATGTGGGTGCTGGGATTCAAACCCAGGTCTTCTGTAAGAACAGTCAGTGTTCTTAACTGCTGAGCCATCTCTCCAGCTTCCCCCCCCTCATTGATTTTTATTGAACCTTGAGACCAGAATGCCTATGTGAGGAGTAGAGGCTGATTGTGGCAGCAAAACAGTGCTGTGACAACCAGACCCTTTTGGGCCTTAATTGCTCTTTGAATCAACTGATAAAAGAGGCAGGCAGATCTCTGTGAGTTCAAGGCCAGCCTGGTCAACGTAGTGAGTTCCAGGACAGCTGGGGCTACAGGGAGACCCTGTCTCAAAAAGAACCCCCCCCCCAAAAAAAAGTTAAATGATAGCTGGGCGTGGCACACGCCTTTAATCCCAGCAGTTGGAAGGCAGAGGCAGGCAGATCCTCTGAGTTCGAGGCCAGCTTGGTCTATAGAGTGAGTTCCAGGCAGCTGGAGCTACAGGGAGACCCTGTCTCAAAAAGATAAAAAAAAAAAAGTTAAATGATAGGATTATTCCCAGGATACACTCTGGACAGAGAAGTATAGCCATAGGAAGCTACTGCTAGCAGCCAGAAGTGCCTTCTTGCCATCATCTTCACTAGACACAAAGGGGCCAGCTGTTGATCTTAGTATGTGTGCTTAATTTTATGTTATGTATGTGCTAGAGGTCGAATCCAGGGTCATGTGCATGTGTTCTACTATCACTGAGTAATATACTACCTTCCCAGCCCCCATCTCCATTTTTGGAGACAAGGTGATACTCAGGCTGCCCTCAAATTCCAAGGCAGAAGTGGGCCTTCCTGTCTTTTTCCAAGTAACTGTACTTTGCCCAGCTGAAGAACATTCCCATTAGAAAGGGTGCCTCTTGTCTGTCTGAGGAAGAAAAGGCTCTAAATCAGTAGAGGGGGAAGAAAAACGGATGAGGAAGAGTTGAACCCGAGGCCTCATATACACTAAACAAGCTCTCAGCCACTGAGTTGTACTCCCAGGCCTTTGTTTTTTATTTTGTTTGCTTGTTTAGGGTCTAGTCTCAAGCAGTCCAGGCTGGCCTTAGATTTACAATGTAGCCCAATCCTAATCCTTTTACCCCTACCTCCCGAGTGCTGAGATTATAGGTGTATGCTGCCACCATATCAGAACCCTGTGGGTTTTGTTTTCCTAGGTTAGCTTCAAGTTTCAGATCTTCTGAGTAGTTGGGATTATAGGCACGTGCTACCATGTCTGGGTTAATTTAGAGTTAGTGTGTATAGCCTCCAAATACTAAATACACCCATATATAAAGATAATATTTACACTTTTTTGTATGTTTGTTTCTTTGAGACAGAGTCTCACTTTGTAGAACAGGCTTGCCTGGTACTCAGTGTATGGACCAGGTTGGTTTCAAATTCACAGTAATTCTTTTTTCCCTTCCAAGTGCTCTTGCAGAGGACTCAAGATTGGTTACCAGAACCCACCAATATCAGGTGGTCCAGCTCCAAGGGCACCCGCATATACCCACACACAGACAAAAATAAATCTTTAAGAAACCCCAAATAGGCCTGGCATGGTGGTGCATGCCTTTAATCCCAGCACTTGGGAAGCAGAGGCAGGAGGCTCTCTGTGAGTTCAAGGCCAGCCTGGTCTACATAGTAAGTTGTAGGCCAGCTGGGGTTACAGGGAAGACCCTGTTTCAAAAAGACCAAAGGGAAAAAAAAGAAATCCCAAATAATAATAAAAGTAAAAAAGGGGATGAGGCTGTAGCTCAGAGGTGAGCACTTAGTCATGCAGAAGGCCTCATTCCCTGTAACAGGGAAGGGTTGAGGGGGCAGGGGGCATGTGCTCCCAGCCATTCTTCCTATGTTGCTCTGACCCATCTCTGCAGAAAGCAGTAGTTTCTTATTCATGTGCTCTGTAGTGTTGACTTCAATTCTTTACCTATATATACAGCTTTGTTGGTGTCTAACATGTTCAACAAGCATCTGTGACATCTGGACTGTGGAATGTTTATTGTCTAGCCTGCAGCAAAGATGGAAGTTCCTTAAGCATAGGAACTAACTTTCATTTTTCATGCAATAAATGTTCTATAAATCTTATTAAATTGAGTAGAATCGTGTGGAAAGTATCCTGTAAAAAACACTAGAATTCCAGGTTAAGTGAGGTGAGTGTTGAGGCAGTTTTCAGTGCCTGGCACTCTTTTTCTCTACCTTCCCAGTGTTTCCTTCATCTGTTATTTTATTTGCTTTTATGAGCTTTTGTGGGAGGGGGATTGTCAAGCATTACTAATTTTGCCTTCTTTCTCTGTCCCTACAGGTTGGTGACATTGTGAAAGTTACAAGGATGAATATAAATGGCCAGTGGGAAGGCGAGGTGAATGGGCGCAAAGGGCTTTTCCCCTTTACACATGTCAAAATCTTTGACCCTCAGAACCCAGATGAAAACGAGTGATTGCTGCTGCCATTTCCTGCTGCTTCGTTGTTCTGCCTGTCATAGTCTCCTTTGAAGTGGGAAAGCATTCTCTCATAAGCAAGTTACACTGTGCTGCTGACGTCCAGTTTTCTGTATACTGGCGGTCTCATACACATTTGGAATGCCTACAGCAGCTGCCACTTGGTGTTTGTATCATAGTCACATTGTCAGAGAGTAGCTGGTTTTAGAGTTCTTCTGGATTATAAACTGGAAATGCTGTTGGAAGCACACAGAGAATTTCACACAGAAAGGGTCCTCCTTCTCATCACTGCCCTGTTTGAACTTGGGACAGTTTCTCTCATGTTCACATTAGAAAGCTTGAGCTGTAAGATCATGCCTGTTGCTGTTCCACAAAGTAGTGGTTTTGCCACCAACTTGTTTTTCTTTGGACAACAGAGGAAGTAAACCTCAAGAAAGTTCTATCCTGAGCTCCTGAAATCTGGCTTTTCTTTCACTTTCTTTTATTTTTGGAAGACTAAAAGTTGAGTGTTCTGAACAGAGTTTTAAATAGCAGGATGGATTTTTGTGGTAGTCCAAGCAACGAGACATGTCCCTGAGCTTCCAAACTGAAGCTGCTGTAACTAAAGGACTATGAAAAGATACTTTGAAGTGGAGGCCTTTATTGTTTTGGTTGCCCACAGTACCTTGTTTTACAGGTAAACAACACACAAATCAGTAGTCCTGGTATGTCATACTGTGTATGTAGCCTGGGTTATTTTTCCCCCAGAAGCACCAGAGTGAGGGTGTGATTTGTGAAATCTGTTGCTTTCATTGCTTGTCAAGACAGGACTAGAAGGGGATGAAGCACTTGGCCAGTTTTCTGTCCAGCTTTTCAATGAATGCACCCCCTTTAAGAAGTCAAATTTGTTTTAAAAAATGAGGTCTATAGAATTATTGAATTCACTAATTAGATTCAATCATTTTCATTCACTCACTGAAGCCCACTCAGCCTTCCCCATCTAGACCCAACTTCTCCAGGCAACTGGAAAGTGATGGTGCTGCCTGTTACTAGTTCCATAGTCTAAGCATCTATAGTGCTTCTGAGCAAAGAAAATGCAGGCTCTGGAATTTAGTAGTGAGTAGAGAAAACTCTTAACCAGTATACTATTAACCATTTATCAGTTTGTTGATGTTGAAGCATTGCCCTGTTAGCTAAAAAAAAAAAAAAAAAAAGTATTTTATATA